CTCACTTCACCCAAAGGATATGCCCCTTGTCGCATCTCTAGACTTGTCATTTTTTATGACACTTGAGACCATATCAATATCCACGGAGTTAGCATGTATATTATAATGATTTATTAGGTCCCTTATCTTTTCGATGTGGGATTGTTAACATTAATGATTGAAAACATTATTCTTATTAGCAATAATCCTACTAGTTGTCCAATTAGCCCCTCATCGAGTGTAGGGTTGTTATACATGCAGCTGAGGAGAACGTTGTCCTTCATTGAGAAACATAGAGCATTAAACGATATAGAGAGAGGGGAGGGGCAGATAAAGTGCATATCTTTTTATTTTCTACACTAGGAAAAAGTAGTGGAAAGGGATACATTCGTAAACGAGAAATGGATCTCCTAAGCTCAAATTAATTGGCAACTCTCATTCTGGTTCAGCAATTATAAACTCAAATCATCACTTTTTTTTTTATATATCAGCGAGTGTCTGTGCCTGCTTGTGCACACCTCGATTAATCTCAAGGGACAACCGCCAAACCCTACTACGTTTGGTTGCCAAGGTAACTCGTAAGATATTAAATCCTAGGTAGGTGGCCACGGGCCACCATGGTTTGAACCCATTCCCTCAAAGCTGTTTGCTATTTACATGGCCCCTTATTGACCACTAGGCCACACCATGATGGTTAAATTCAAATCATCACTTTGATTTGCCATATCTGGTAAGATGCTTATATTTATCACCAGGAAACAAAACAAAGGAGAAGCAATACTTACAAGTTTCAGTTGCCGGGGAAAAGGGCATGCACCAGGGGTTCCATAATTAACAGCCAAAATATTAACACCATCCTGGAATGAAAACGACAGAAGATGTGCTTTAGGATCCAATGAGATAAGTACCAGGACCTTTCAAAGATGATGTCTTTAGAAGTGTATTTAGACAAAAGGTTCAGTTGCAGGACCCTTAAAATATGATGTCTTTAAAAAGTGTTTTAGACACTAGAAGTGAAAATCTTTACTCAAAACCTGTTCAGAAGTACTAAAAGTATTGTCATTGCTCTAATTTATTTTTCCACTGTCATGTATACATAGTTCCATATATTAGTGAACAGCTTCAAGAAAATAAGATAATACAGGCAAAACTATGCTCAACAAAAATTCATTCCACCAAATTTTATGTGTCAAAGATATATTTATAGTTTGCCCTTTAACAACCAAGACAACCTTGTTACTTATTCATACTACGTTTCTAGATATACTTCTAAACCCATGGCTAATACAAGAGTGTTGTTTAAAGTTGCAAAAATCCATTTGTCCTCCATTGGAAGAAAGAGAACCGTGTCATCTTTGATTTGCAAATGTGATAAGATACTAAGATCCATGCACACTCCAATGAGTACAACTTCTCTCTACTAGCCTAGTTCAGACATATGCTACAAAAACAAATAATTTATAAACCCAATCAAGAGTGAAAAGTTGGAAGAAACAAGATAATTCATTATTCTTTTCCTCTTTAAAATTCCAGATTCCATCTTGTCAATATATTTGAAAGCCAACTTTTAATTAATCATAATCTCAAAATGGATAAAACCGATACACTTGGTCAATCCTTCGAAGTTTCAAATCTGCTTCAAAGAAAAAATTAAAGAGATCTATTTCAAGTTAGTCCTCAGGACATGAAACATTCGAATGTTCTAGAAGTTAAATTAACATCAAATGGCTGAAGCTGAAAAGCTTTACCATTTTGGCTGAAGAGTTATAATCAAAACCATAAAAGTGGGTCATCAAATGTAAGGAATTAAACCACCTAACAAAAAAAGAGAGAAAATGGAGCAACACATAATCATAATTACTGTACATAGAAATAATAGAATACCTACACTTGAACAAGACATGTTTGGTAGTAATAAAAGGTTGACATTTACCATGTGTATCACAAAATGCTCATCCAACTCTCCTCGTGGAAGACATCTCTGAAATTATAGAATGAGAAGTTTGGGTTAAATAAGAACTTCCACTAAAAACAGGCACATGAAATCAAAAGATAAAGACCAGAATATAGGTAATAAGTCATGAGAAACGTCAAGACTTGTACATTTGATGGATCAATTACAAAGCTAGTATTACTTTAGTAAAAGTTATAGATCAACATCATTCTTTTAATGCCCATCCCCAACCTCTACCTCTAGATTGAAAAGTAGATACTATGGTGTAATGCTACAACTTCTTTATTTATTTATTTATTTTTTATAAGAGATTGAGTAAAGATATATTAAGTTGTAACACTACAAAATTGTTTCGAGGAAATTCATGGACAAGACCTCTTAGATTGTGACTGAGCTTTTACTACCTTATCAAACCCTTGGATAGACACCATCATAAGCTATTATTAATAATAATCTGCAATCAACTTACTGCTTTCACTGATGAGTAAACATAGCTCTCCCCTGTTGACTTCAAAACATTTGTTGTCAATCTCACGCTGTAGAAACCATCTTCTTGCAACAAGGTCTACAAAAATAAATAATAATAATAATCATCATAATAGTTAAAAAATTAAAATAAGTCTCAATCTATATTTTGAGAATTTACGAGCAATAAGCAAAAAGATATAGCCGAGGAAAAAGACAGTCATTACTGTAAATTTCTTCTGATCCTCTTCAGTAAAAGCATTCCTCGAGAACCGCAGCTTGGTAAGCGACTATCACAGGGAATGGAGCATGTCAGTTGCAATGAGCATGTATAATAGCAAGTAATCTTGGATGCTTAGGATAAGTGTAACAGTAACGTCAACAATTACTGAATTGTTGTACATAGGTTTTAAAAAGAGTACTGAATTACTGATCTATAACATAAAAAGAGAGATTTTTAATGAACAGTTAAATTTATTACTTCAATTGATATCCAGAACAAGAAAGTGTATTGGATCCCAAAAAAATGCCAAAAAAGGTACAAAGATGATTCATCAAACTTGTAGACCATTAGAAGCATAAACAACATGAACATGAGAAAGGATAACACTTGAAAACAGGAAATATACAATTCATAACATATCTTTCCACTGACAAACTAACCATAAAAAAAAATTTCTGCCCAGAAACAAGTTAACATATTCAACTTAGCTCTTCCAGTTAATTTTGCTAACAAAATAGTACACAACACAAAGCCATGATGTCCTATTCTGATAGGCATCCCACAGAAAACAATCCCGATTGAAAACAGAAACGAAATCTTTCAAAAGCACCTCATATCCCAAGTTCCCTAAATCCTGAACCACTAAAACACCGGACAAGTTTTTAATTGTTTCACCACTCTACAGGGCTATTACCCATAATACACCATGAAGGAGACAAACGTGATAGGGCCTAGTTTTTGACAAATTCTCTGAGGTGTGAGAGAATGTGCCTTATATTGCATCTCTTTGATCATTTAACGCACAGTTCCTTTCATCACCCCCTCATTCCACATTTTCATTGCAAATCTTTGTAACAGTAAATTTAACAAGAAGAAACAGTACACCAATCAAGACACGAGCAAATTCTTCCAAAATCTACAAAAACTAACAACTCAGATTACCATCTAAGTTTCTCAAAGTTCAAAAAAAAAAAAAAAGGAAAACAAGATCAAACGAACAGACCCACCTGACCGCCATGGCTCGAAGTCTTGAGACGAGCAGTAAATAAGCCAGCAGGGGCGAAATCAGAGTCCCCAAATGCGTGGTCTAGCTGAAATTGGACCTTAGAATCCGAATCGGGATCAGAAAACCGCCTCCGAGTCGAGGTCGCACGGCTTGGAGGAGCTGGGGATCGGGTACGCGTGGCGTCGGTATACTGAATCTGCTGTGTCCCTTCAAACTCGTCATCGTCGACGAGAAGCTCATCGGATTGGAAAGCCGCAGATGAACAAAGCAAGAGACAGAGGATGAAGCCACGGCGGAATCCCATGGCTGAACTTTCCAAGAACGAGAACAGAGTCCACCTTCGACTGGGAGTAATCAATCAATATTTATTTGGGAAATCAATCAAAATAATGGCCTAATATATTTATTCTTTCATCTTTGATCTTTAAGATATTAAAAATGAGGATAACTTTACAAAGAAACTCAAAACTATGAAAATTGAAAAAGGGGGAAAAATAAAAAAGAAAGGAGAAAAAAAAACTCAAATATTAGATTTTTTTTTTTAAATTTTGTTTTCTTAAAAGGGTGTAATTCGATATAAGTACATTGACCGCTTAACTATGTTTAAATTAGTTCAAGAGATATATTTATTGACGAATGTATCATCTTTCTTCACATCATTTTAAATATTTGTCTTTTATGTGTGATGTAATATTTAAAATTAAGCACATACTATATATATTTATGTACTTTGAAATATTATATACTTAAAATTATATAAGAATTATTCCAACGAAAATAAATTTTCAAAAAACCTAATGCAGTAATAATTGGTTAACAAGAAATTCGTACAATTTTGATATCCTTAGTTTTTGTTTATTGAGTAGAATATGCATGATGAGAATTCGAACTTATAACATTTTGGTCAAATATAGATACCTTAACCAATTAGGCTATGTTAAGGTTAAAGAAATTCGTAAAATCGATGTCTTTAGTAGTTGTACCGCTATTCGCATTCTTATTAATTAGTTGCTCAATCTCATACTTAAAGATTTGGGAATTTGCAATAGGTAGAAAAAAAAATTTATCCATATTTACAAAAATGTCAATACCTTTTGAATTTTGCAAACAAAAGATTTGAATTTTTATTTTCGAATTTTTATTATTCCAATTTTACTCATTCATCGAGACATACATATTGCAGGTATATTTGAGTTATCTTAAATTATCAAACATATATCAGCGATATATTAGCTAATTATAGTTATATCAATACGGTAGATAAAATGTAAATCAATATGGTAAATCAACACATACATATAGCAGGTATATCAAAAGTATATAATAGGCCTATCAGAATAAGGTGTATATCAATAGAAGAACAACAACATGTTAAGCATAGGGAGAGAATTCCGAATTAGAAATGACCGAATCATTCACATCTTAATTAATAGGGGGAGGGAGAACATAAGATATTATCAACAAATTGGCAAACATAAATATTAAATACAAAGTGCTTTACATATAAACAAGTTCATTATCATATCATTCAAGATCTAAAAGAAACTGTATTATAATATGAATAAAAATTTAGAAGTAGTTACAAGTTTTAAGTCTAGAAGTCATTATATTATAATCTAAACATAAAAATCTAAAAACCATTATATTAAATAAAAGTTTTCATTCTATCTGTCTTTTAAGTAAAAACTACGTTCATCATTGTCAACCCTTTTTCTCAGTGATTGTCATATTTTTATAAGCGATATCTTGACTTTTTATTTTTGTAAAGGCAATTTTTTTATGTTGGTTTATTGTCTTTTTGGACGTACATGGTCACATCAACCTTGTCTGCATTAATTTTTGTTTTCTTTTTCCTTGTCTGCATCCTCGTTTGAACATAAAAGAAAATTAATGGATATATGAGCGATAGATCAGTGGTATATTAGTGATAAATCAATGATACATCAATCAATAGTAATATTTCATGAGTATATCAATAAGGTAAATCAATAATAAATCAATGGTAAACCAATGGTAAGTCAATAATAAATAATTGGTAAATGAATAAGGTAGATTAGGACATACATGTTGTAGGTATATCAGAGGTATATCAAAATCAGATAATCATATCAGAAGTATGTATCAGAAATATATCAATGGTGTATAAGCACACAAATATCATAGTTATATCAATATGGTAGATCAAAAAGATAGATAAGCACATACATATTGTAGGTATATCAAAATTAGATAATCAAATTAGAAGTATATATCATACATATATCAGTGGTATATTAGCACACATATATCATAGTTATATCAATATGGTAGATCAAAGGTAAATCAAAGGTAGATCAACACATATATATTGCAGGCATATATTAGAGGTGTATTAGTTTTGGATTTTTTTTAAATAATGTTTTTATTTAAACTTATTTTTAAAATAATGCTGCATTAATTAAAATTAAACAAAAAAAATACATTATTTCAAACTTATTCGAGAAATAATGCTAGAAAAATCGAAGTGGAGCTTGGTCGTTTCTTCAAGAGATGAACAAATCACATGCAAGAGATGACCAAATCACACGTAGGACATCGTCATCTCTTGAAGAGACAGCCACAGACGAGAGACGACCATCTATTGGTGTAACTCCAAAGGGAGGATTTTTATTAAAGAAGATAAGATGATCCTTACAAAGGGAAAGACTTGCTATTTATAAGCAAAAGACCTAGGAAAGCTTTTAACTAACCAGGCTAACTAACTAACAAACAGTTAAACAACCCAACTAAACAACCAACAAACTAGAAATACTAAAATATTATTAACGACTACATCAGATTTTCCCCTCCCAAAAAACAAACTCGCCCTCGAGTTCTTAAGAAGCTAGAGTGAAGGAATCTGGAGCTTGATAAGGGAAGATGTCCGCTACATTAAAAATTGGGTTGATGTTGTATTCGGTTGGAAGCTGAATCTTGTAAGCGTTGTCACCACACTTCTCTAGGATAGATAGGGACCAATCTTCTTCTTGTTAAGTTTGTTATATTTGCCCGTAGGTAGTCTTCCCTTCCACAAGTAAATCATGACTAGATCACCAATTTGGAAGCTCACTGGTCTTCTTTTAGTATCTGCTGCTGCCTTATACTTGGAGTTGCCGTCTCGATATGATCACGGACTTCTTGATGCAATTTTGTTATCCTTTTTGCCATTTGTTCAACTTCCACACTAACATCAATAGAAGATGGTAAGTTAGTAACATCTACAGTTAGGCGAGGGAGTTTAGTATAAACCACTTCAAATGGTGACTTCCCCGTGGATCTATTTTACATATGATTGAAAGCGAATTCTGCTTATGCAAGGGCAAGGTCCCATTGTTTAGGACGATCGCTGGGATAGGCATCAAATTAGGTTTCCTAGAGTTCTGTTTGTAACTTTTGTTTGTTTGTCCGTTTGTGGGTGACTTGTGGTGCTGTATTTGAGGGATGTATAAAATTTGCGCCACAGAGTTCACCAGAAATGGCTAAGAAATTTGACATCATGATCTGAAACTATTATTTTAGGAATGTCGTGAAGTCGAACCACTTCCTGAAAAAAAAAGATTACCCACATAAACATCATTTGATGTTTTCTTACAAGCTTAAAAATGTGCCATTTTGCTGAAACGATCGACAACAACCAAGACTGAATCGAATCCTCGTTGTGTTTTGGGTAATCCTAAGATAAAATCCATGGATAGGTCTTCCCAAATTGATTGAGGTATAGGTAAAGGAGTGTAGAGTCCTGTGTTTTGGGTTGTTCGTTTATTTGTTTGGCATACAAAACATTTGGCTATGTAGCTGAAGACATCTTTTCTTATTTGTAGCAAAAAAAAAAAAAAAACTATTAGCTACTAAGTTTAAGATTTTATCCCAACCAAAGTGGCCTGCTAACCCACTTGAATACCCACTTGAATGTAGGTCTTGAATAAGTGTTGTCCGTAGAGATGCATGGGGTATACATAATTGATTACCTTTGAATAATTATCCTTCTAAAACGTGAAAGTCTTTAGAGTTATTGTTCGTAGAGCAGTTATGCCAAATTTCTTTAAAGTCTATATCTGTGGTGTATGACTCGGGTAAAGTGGTGAAGGCTATTATTTCTCCTTGTAGGATTGTTAGTAAGTTTCCCTTTCTACTAAGGGTGTCGGCTGGCTTATTAGTAATCCTCGTTCTATGTTTTATAACAAAGTCAAATCTTTGAAGAAAAGACAACCATCTTGCATGCATTCGGCTTACGATTTTTTGAGTATTAAGGAATTTAAGGGAAAAATGATCAGTAAAGAGTATGAATTCTTTGCTTAAAAGATAATGCTCCCATTGCTTAAGAACACGAACCAAAGCGTAGAGTTTTTGTTCGTAGCTGCTCCAATTTTGTCGTGAAGGGCTTAGTTTTTCACTAAAGTATTCGATGGGGTGATTGTTCTGAAATAAAACAGCCCGTATACCTACTCCAGAAGCATCTACTGAAACTTCAAATGACTAGGTGAAATCGGGTAAATTAAGAACATGACTTTCGCTAAGTTTTTTTTGTATAGTTTCAAAGTTGTTTGTTTGGTCAATACCCCAAGAAAATTTTCCTTTTTTGAGACAGTTGGTTAAGGGGGCCACTAGGGAGCTAAAATTTCGGATGAATTTCCTATAGAAGGATGCAATGCCAAAAAAACATTGAATATCCCTTACTGTTTTAGGTTGAGGCCAGTCATTATAGCTTTTATTTTCTTAGGGTCCATTTGAATGCCCTTCCCACTAATAATGAATCCTAGGAATGACATTTCAGAAACAAGAAACATACATTTTTTTCAAGTTTATCGCTAATTTGTTATTACTAAGTGTAGTAAATAGAAGTTGAAGGTGATGTAAATGGTCTTCCCTAGAATTACTATAAATCATAATATCATCAAAATATATAACCACAAATTTATTAAGAAAAGGGAGAAAAACCTGATGCATTAACCTCATGAAAGTGCTCGAGGCATTGGATAACCTGAAGGGCATGACTAGCCACTCGAACAGTCCTTCATTTGTTTTGAGGGTTGTCTTCCGTTCATCTCCTAGTCTGATGTGTATTTGATGATATCTGCTACGCAAGTCTATTTTAGAGAAGATGAATGCTCCTCCTAGTTGGTCAAATAAGTCATTAATACGAGGGATATGGAAATGATACTTAATGGTTATTGTGTTGATAGCTCGACTATCAACACACATCCGCCACGACCCATCCTTTTTTGGGGTGAGGAGGGTGGGCACCACATAAGGACTTAAGCTAGGTTGAATATAGCCTTTGTCCAATAATTTGGTTATTTGTTCATGAAGAATTTTATATTCAGCTGGGCTCATGCGATAATGAGACAAATTAGGCAATG